CGACCAATTAGCCTAACTAGTGTGGTTGTTAAAATCTTAGAAAAGATTATTCGGAAGGAACTGTTAAAGTATCTCGATGAAAACCGGATCCTCTCCGAAAAGCAGCATGGTTTTAGAACAGGTTACTCTTGTCTCACAAACTTATTAGTCGCTCGTGAAAGCTGGTGCGCTCTTAAGGACCAAAAATTACCTATAGACGTAGCTTACATCGATTTCAGCAAAGCTTTCGACAAAGTTCCGCATAACCGGCTGTTATATAAGCTAAGGAATGTCGGGATTGGAGGCAATCTATTGATGTGGATAAAAGACTTCCTAGTTGGGCGTCAACAAAGAGTAAGGGTGAACTCCAAGTTGTCTAGCTGGGAAACTGTGCTTAGTGGAGTCCCCCAAGGTACAGTTTTGGGGCCAGTGTTATTCCTCCTGTACGTAAATGATCTCCCTCGTCTACTATCGTCATCGGTCTTACTCTATGCTGATGATGTCAAGATATGGAGAGCGATACAAAGCAAGGGCGATAGCTTAGAACTTCAAAATGACCTGAAGAGATTATCTGAATGGTCCCAAACCTGGCAATTGCCGATAAACACTTCCAAGTGTATTGTGATGCATATTGGCCATCAGGGTACAGATACATACACGATGAATAACACTGAGTTACCTATTGTTCAGGCACACAACGACTTAGGCGTCATCGTCAGTCAAGACTTAAAGACTACTGCACACTGCCGTGCAATAGCCGCCAAAGGTTTTAGGACTTTATGGTCCATACGCAGGGCTTTTAGGCATCTTGACGCTAAAACGTTTTTGACTTTGTATACAGTGTTCGTACGCCCTAAACTTGAGTACTGTATACAAGCAGCTAACCCCTGCCTAAAAAAAGACAGTGAACTCTTGGAAAGGGTTCAGAGAACAGCAACTAGGCTGATTCCCGGAATAGCGAAGCTCCCGTATGGTACTAGACTGACCAAGCTAAACCTATTCCCGCTGTCATATCGAAGAATCAGAGACGACTTGATTACAGTTTTCAAATTGCTAAATGACAAATTTGCACCCGATATGCCTTCATTTTTCTTGTCTTCCAAAACAGAAAATCTACGAGGACACTCCAAAAAAGTTCACAAGCCCAGAACGAATTACTTGTCAGCTGACTACCGACTTTCCCATCGAATAATCAACGAGTGGAATTCATTACCTCAGCACGTGGTTGAGGCTCCATCCGTCGACTCCTTCAAAAGAAAGTTGGATCAGCTGAGAGACCATCATTGCCAGGACTAACACAGGCCATCAAGCCTCCTGTCCTTTCCAAACTGAAACTGAAACTGAAATAGTTTCAATGGCGGTCTTCGTAACTATGTACGTTACGGTGGTTTTTCTGCAGGGCATACTGACAGGTAAAAAAAGCAAGTCCTAGTAAAGGATCCTTCATGTACACATTAATTAAAAGTTACAATTAGACACATCAAATGCAATCGGTTCAGCACGAGTCCTGAATAATAATTTTTTATGGTCTTGTTGGTTCATGTATGCTTTTATGTAGTAATGCGTCCTAAGGTGCTGCCTACTCCATCTCCATAAACGTTGTCAGCAATGTTCCCGAAGTCCTGCAGGTGTTTATTAATAATTCGTTTCACTCCGGAATATAATTTGTTTGCACCTTCCTAATATTGAATAGCTGGCATAATACCTTCATCATTACACTTTCAACATTAGATCCTTTGTCAAAATATAGCTGCTCTGGCGCTCCTCATCAGGCAATCCAGTTTCCAAACAACTTCGCCACTGTGGTTGCATCAATTCTAGTTAGGAGGACAGCTTTACATCATGTCCATATTCCTCATGAATTTCTTCCAACATTATCGTAACACTTAGTTTTGGCACCACCACTCGTTGTACATTATTTGAACCTGGCTGAACACCAAATCCCTTCGACTTATACCACTTAGTCCCACAACGGTCTCGAACACTTTTTCTCCCTAAATTTTGCATTGATTTCTTTCTCCGCCCAGTGGTTTAGATGTTAAGCGTTCGCGCGCGAAGGACCGATGGTCCTATGTTGAAATCTAGCGGGTGAAATCGTGGATACGCGCTACTGTGGAGTCCTATGCTAGAACGAAACGTCCATCCAGTGCTTCTAGGTTTCGTCCCCAAAAATGCCGTGGGACGGCCGAGAGTGGGGAGAGTTAGCTCTCCCTCTCGAAATGCTTTCACATGCATAGAAGCACTTACAGGGAAGTCCTACTCACTGCCTCCTCAAGACGGGGGTGCTGTTTGCGAAATTAGGAAGATGAAAAGCGTATGTTCGACGCTTTAACTAGGTTGTTGGTTACGGAGGGTTGCCCTTGGGGGAGTTGGAATAGCCTGTTTCCAAACCAATGGTGCACATGGGCTCTACTATCCTGAAGAAACAAATGGCGTGTGAACCAATCGTTAGTCACCGGCTACCATGGGATTGCGTCTCCTGACGTTGTTCCACTGCCTTGTGGGTTAGACTTTTAGGTCAAAGACTCTGGGTGTGGCCCCACGAGAAAACCATCTGCGTTGGTCTGGACAGTATCCCAGCTCTCACACTCGAAACCAAATTCCTACTGGTAGTCTCACTGTTTGCCTCTGTAGGTTTTTGAAGTTCTGGAGCCGTTGGAGGGCTTTGTGAAATGAAATGTCTGCTTTTAAGGTACGTTCTGTACTATCTCATGAATTTCACGACAACTAGCACTTCCTTTCGCGCAATAATAATTCTTTTCAGACCGGTTCAACGTCTGACTTCCATAGGCAATAACATGCTCTCTTCCATCGGATCCATTCCCATACAAGACCACTGCAATCCCTGCTTCACTTGTATCTGTATCTAAATGTACATACCTGAATTAGTTCAAGTGTTCTCCAATATTGATACGGGTGCTGGTCAGTGTTTTTTGTGGTAATAAATGCGTTGTTGCAACACTATCAGGGGAAGTGGGTATAGGCCAATTCTTTACAGCAGCCACTTTTTCAGGATGACCGATTGCAAAACTCAAAAAGTCATTTTTTTACCCAGATGACAGTCACAATGCTTGGTTATTAACCGAAAATCAATAACTCATCATAGCTTGTTAAAGACGGTAAAGATGTTTCCTGAGCGTACTGCTGAAAACAGCAATATCGTCTTGGTAAATCAAACATCTCCAAAACCAGGTCTTTAAGAACTAACTGCATAAATCCTTGAAATGTTGCGAGGGCATTAGTCAGCCCGAAGGGATTGTTCGAAACTTGTATTGTGGGTGCCTACGAAGTGTGGCAATGTAATAATGCCCCGATCCAGAATCTTTATCATACAGGACAATTCAGCTGGAGTTCATCAGGGCTCTTGTCTAGTGCTCATGCCACATCCAGTACTAATGCAATGCCTTAATAGTCTAGTCCTTCAGATGTCCATACGATAGCTTCAGAATTCGCCCCCCAGTTATTTACAGACTTCTTGTTCATCGTTTGCGATCCCTAACAATAATTGTTCAATTGGTGCCTTAGCAATGATATTGACCATAAGGTATAAGGTGTTATTTCTTCGTTTCCTAAATCCTAACTGCGTACCCAAAAGCTTCACTGTTCCGATGTCGGTATCTACCTAGTGAAAAGTTGTAGAGTGGGAAAGAATAAGCTAACTAATAATGGAACTTTTAATCCAGTTTCTTTTATTACTAAATGTATAAGTGGAGTACAGAAAGGCGTGGAAAACGGGTAAAGAGTCTGGCTACAAACTTGGTTCAACGGGGAGATTATGTGACAGTTTTTAGGGCGAAAAGTTGGAGTTGCTGCGTGGAAGCCACTAAATATTTTGTTGAGTGTTAGCTGGTTATTAATCAGGACTCGTGCTGAACCGATCGCATTTGAAGTGTCTAATTGTAACTATTAATTAATGTGTACATGAAGGATCCTTTACTAGGACTTGCTCTTTTTATCTGTCACTAACTTCTAGCCTGAGCCATGTTGGCAGATGCAGACTACCTGGTTGGGGTCCGCGTGACTATCGTAACCAATGGTTGGAGACTCTAGGTGGCATGGCTCAGAATCGATCACAATGGCGTAGGTGTATACACTCTTTATCTTCCCTTAAACCTTAAGATTAAAATTGCTTCATAACTTTCTTCCTTCCTATACCATATCCTTATATGCAACCTATAATTTATATACTACCACCACCACTAAATTAACTACTATGAATCCGGTGTTGATCTTGTTGTGCTAACGAGGTATGGCAACTTGGACCGATGCATATATGTGCCTGGTCCTACGTTGTAACTGACTGTCAGTATGCCTTGCAGAAAAACCGCTGCAGATATGCTGAACCTGCTACAATGCATAACTCTGTGAAGTAAATTAAAGTTGTTCCTTGCCCTAATTAAGATATTACAACCACTGGGGTAGTGCTTTGCCATAACGAGTAGCTATGTAGTGGGCTAAACTACCTAACTCCAGTTTCAATTTCAGGACTATTTTAATCTGAGGTCTGTGTTACTGTCGATTGTTGTCCATTGCTTTCCTTATTAGTTGTAAGTGCATTGTGTGTGCTTGATGAGTCGTCGGCGCACTTTTCCTTTTATCTTTCTCAGCCTTCTTACGGTACTCTGTATGCTCCATTAGTACACAAAGTACCTTCTGGCTAGACGCGAACCGCTACAATGTTTTAACGCAGCGGGGGACCCGCGTTATTTTAGTATCGACTATCAGATTGTCTTACTTTTACTCTTGTTTTATTCCTGGCTGTTACCAATTGCCTTCATTGTTAAACGCAAGTACATTTTGTATTCTTATTGACTTGGCTTAGTTTTTCTCTCGTTCTCTTCTTAGATTTTCACACTCGCTTATCACATAACATACTTCCGGGCTAGACGCAAAACAGCCACAGTCTGGACGTTATAACGTCATAAAAAGTTTATTATATTAAAATAAGTCAATGACTGGTTCAGTTACCTGTGTAATTGAATAGCCTCATTTGCTTCAGTATAAGCTTTGTTACATTAATAATGAAACTGTTACATGGCAATGCAAATATTCCCGACATTAAGTCCATATTTGGTTCAGATTTTTCTGGATGTATTAACATGAATGTAACGCCTGGCAGCAAATCAGCAAACCTAGTACCATACGCCGTTAAAAAGTTCCAAAGTGGAGAGACAGATACGGTAAGAGTTTTGAAGGATTGTTTACATGTGCATCTTTCTGCCGTTGTCATGTTTTAAAGTGAATATACAAACTATAATCTTGATAAATTCGTTCATGATCTAAGAGTCCATGCATCAGTGTACCTACCAGAACTAGACTACGATTACCTATCCTAGCTTAAGTGACATCTACATTCCACTAATCACTGCTGTCTTTATATGAGTATTCAACGAAAATCGTTCATAGTTTTTCATGTTTATGTTAAATGGAAAAGCTTGTGCTAGTAATTTTGACTACTGTATGTAAGCATCTTATACCCTTCAATATTACCAGGCAAATGATTACACGTATATATATATGTAATCAAAGCGTTACAAAAGGTATATCCAACTATCAACTTAGAATATCAGCTACTGTATGGCGGTTTTGTCGTAAAAAGTACCCTATCTGCTTGAGGTTCAACCAGTGAGTTATATTAGTTATAAGAAACACTGAACATGATTGTACAGTGGTTACTTCCTTGGATTTATTGTTTTATAATGAATTCATATTTTCTAGTTACGTGTGTTCGCCACTCGGGTAAATTAATTTGTTAGTGTTTAGCCATCATATGCAAGAGGTTATAGGTTGCGCATTTCAGTAAAACCTATACTTGTTCTGATGAATTCTAGTAACAAACGAGTGGCATTACAAAAAGTGCTGCATTCCGAGTTCACCTACTACTTTTGTGTCAATCATAAATGCACTGCGCTTGGTGAAAGCCTATCATGATTGGAAATGAATTAGTAAACTACTGCTCGTCAATTTTCCAATAGTATATAACCAAGATTTTATATGTGGACACTATTGGAATATAACTTTGAGCTCCGTACTGTCTACTTAGTAATGAAGTCTTTTCAGCTTTAAAAATACTAAATTGGTTCTGTTTTACAGTTGTCAAAAACAAATTCACCATCCCATACAATTATTTCATGAGAAGTGATATATTTTATAACTTTTCTTCACTCTTATTAATAGTCTGTGATATTTCCGACTTTCTATAATCCTGAATTAGGTTTCAAGAGATCTAAAACAGTATTATTTAGATTCCCTTCTCTGCCATTTTACTTTAAAGGGCTTGATTGTTATAATAACACAGAATCTGAATTACATTTGGTTCTAGTAAGATCTCCTGGTGACTAATTTAGTATGCTATTTTTTGCACAGATTATATGGTGGAGCAAACATGGTGCTGTTGCGAAGACTGTTGCGTGTGCTGAGATGTTCAAAAGCATTGTGCTCAATGCACAAACGTCACAGTTAGATGGTTCCAGCCCAACAAAAATGTACCAGTGTAGTCGCTTGCATCTTCAATCGTGTAATTGCTCAGTTCCTGATACAACAATATCTTGCACCCTGGTAAGACCGGTTATCTACAACTTATTTTTATCTTTCTAAACCTTTCTCAGCATTTCTAAAAGGTAAATTAATTATAATCTATATCATAAGTATTAGGTATCACACAAATACTTCAATTTGTCTTTCTGACACTTGTCGTCAAATGACCCTAATTGTTCACTTTACTTTCGGCGATTCTAACACTTAATTTCTGTTCCATAACGTCCCAAACTTGACTTAAACTGACAAATTTATCTATGTGTATGAAGGTTTAACTGGATATGAAATTAGGAATTGACTTGCCTTGTTTTTCGAATAAAGACTGTGCATTAAAAAAGTATGACACTATCAACTATGTACACTGCAATCCTTACATTGCTGGTAAACCTTTTGCAATAAGTAGACCTATTGTTCTCAAAAGTAGCTGCTATGTGCACTGGAACACATGATCCTTTATGTTCTACCACACCAGACAGGTTAGTTGGAGAACGATAGGATTAAAAGCAGTGGACTAATTCTGAGAGTGAAGTCGTACTTCTAACTGAACGGAGAAGTGATAGCAGTTGTTCCTGTTAGATAGCCACCATCTGCATCGGTGCTGTTTTCTCATAATACAGGAGGAGTAAGAAAAAGTTGTATCTAAAAATAAAACACAGCACATTCCTTGGATTTCCGCTGCTGACGGTTTGGTTTTGTAATTGCATAGCTCGCACATCTCAAACTTCTCACATAAAGTCCGTGTGTGATCAACCTCAAGTAGTTACTGCTTAGGTGCTGTGGTCACGTTCCCAAGTCATCAAGACCTAGCCCATCCCAGTTTCATTTTCAGGTACCTAAAAAAGAATTATCCTTCCACAGTATGAACAACCTACAACCTTACACTTTTAACAGCACTGGATATCACCTTGTTTGCGTTCAATCCATTTATACTGGTCTTCGTAGTATTATCGTTCTCCAACTGACTTACCTGGTATAGCAAGATATAAAGTATTCAGTATTCTGGTCTATGTAGCTCGGTTAGGTCATCGTTGTACTCATGCTCAACTACCACGATAAGTTGGCAGCTACTCTGGATATATCTGAGCACGAAAGCCTATCACCTCACAACCTTTTATCCGACTCTATTCCAATGTTTTAAAATGTGTTCAATTTTCTTTTGCTTTTGGCTCTCTACAGCTGCATTGTATTTTTATTCATAAGGCAAGCATACTGATGATACAGGGTAATTTTCCAGAAGCTACTAAAGTCTAAGTTTACACATAAGTAATGTACTTAAGGTGATCCACTTGTGTTTTGTACTTTTTATTCCCCTGAAACCTTGTCTTTTTTATCAGTATTGTTGTACCTTTGCTTTCTATGTCTCTGTGTGGATTCGAAATATAGTCACTTAGTTTAAAGTGTATCCAGTCACTCTTCATTTGATCACAGATGCCTCAGAAATATTACTCGCATCTGCTGGGGTTAAACGCAGGATATTAGGGAATAATGGTAAATCAGTTGTAAATCTTCATCAACTGAGATGGTTAGGCCACGTGTTACGCATGCCTGAACACCGATTACCGCGGTACGCAATGCTGACTAGTGTTGGGGATGGTTGGAAAGGAGTTAGGGGCGGCCAAACCAAGACGTGGCATCAGTGCTTGAAGTAACTAACTTCTAGCCTTAGTCATGTTAGTAGATGCAGACTACTTGGTTGGGGTCCGCACAACTAGCGTAACCAATGGTTGGAGACTCTGTGTGACATGGCTCGGGATCGATCACAATGGCGTAGGTGTATACACTCATTGTCTTCCCTTACACCTTGAGATTAAAATTGCGTTATGTCTTTCTTTCTTCCTATATTATATTCTTACACACAGTCTTTCTTTTATATATTACCACCATTGAAGTAACTGCTTCTATGAATTTGGTGTTCATCTTGTGCTAATGAAGTGTGGCAACTTGGACTGATGCGTATATGTGCCTGGTCCTACGTTGTAGCTGACTAACTGAATTTATTGTTTCCGTTTGAATAGTCGCCACATAGATGGTCAACATTTATTTCTATTGCCAAACGTAAATGTATAAGATAAAATATTTCACTTCCTTAATGTCCTCAATGGAATGAGGAGGATATATCACTAATCCCTTCAAAAATTTATGTCACAGTTATCGTTGGGACGTATATATTTGAAGCTTTGGAAGTCGGTGGACAGGATTTTTTAAGATATCAACATTCATTAGCAAGTCCACTACTTATTACAATAACTAGATAAGCATATCGTCCAAAGATATCTTAACCTTATGTGCTCCCAGTTACAGTGAATCTACACTTGAAAACCATCTAAAATCCCTCGTATAACTGTTATGTAAAACATTGTGCTAAGGCTAACCAGTCTTTCTGTTAGGATATGTTATAAAGATGCTTAGTTCATACTTTGACAATCGTATCATTACCTCAAAAGACTTCTTTGTTCAATAGATAGTGGGGTCAAGAATTAACAAACTGCTTCAGATCAGCCGTAAAGTTCATTGTGCATCCCCTCTAAAGGATACAACTGATCACGTTAATATGCCTTAACGATACGTTGATGTACGACTAGACAGCACTATTTTAAAAAACACAGCAGCAGTAGGTTTATTTAATAAAACCATATTCCAAGTTCATTAATTGTCGACTTGTTATTTAACCAATTTATAGATACAGTAGATTAGTAGCTGAGTTTCGGCAATTGAGTGGTGAACTTAAACTACATATCACTTATCAGAGCTTGGTCAACCAATATATTATGCATAGCTCACAATCTAGTGTGTAAAAATGAACATAGTTACTAATCAGCAACCTCTATCTTCCATCACAGTTATATGTGGGTATGATGAACTCAATGAGTAGATCTTAATACATCAAAAAGTTTGGTTTGTTGAATCTTGTATAATATGCTTTTTCTCGTCTATAAGTGTTTATATCCAATCATTTAATTATCTGAAATTATATTCGTTACTAACTTGTCATCTATGTGTTTCTATCTAGGAAGAACCAGGAATAGCTATCCTGTTTTCTAAATCTCAGTTCCCAGGAGAAGATTGTCAACTGCCTGTTGATTTTGGGGGTAACAGTTTTTCAGACTTCACGAACATAGGAGCAACATCTCAATTAAATTTAGATCATCCACCTAGTCGTCGTCGCTTATCTCGTACTATTCGGAAAAAACGTAATACTGTTCGTGATTCCAATAAAAACGAGGCCAAGTTTGTTAATAATTGTTCTTCAGAGATGGGTGACTTCCATAGTGTCCCTTTTCAAACACCCCGTCTGTCCGATGCTATTTCAAACGTAAATAATGTATTAAAGCACAAAAAATTGAATAGGAAACGAAAAAAGTCGTCAAATCAGTAAAGAAATATTTTGTGGTGTATTTTTATTTACCTAGTTCCGATTGTGATGTCCATTACCTTTTTGCATTTTCACAATGAAACAAAGAGTATAAAATTGAAATAAACTTTATATTCATTTAGTACAGGTTTTTTTAATATACAAGATCTGTGACCGAGTTGATTTTAAGGTATTTCTCAGACAACTCTGCTACACAATTGTTGTTGTTTGAAAAGCATGAACAATTACTTGTAAAACCTTAAGCGTGATAGGCTATCAATGTTCGCCTTATAACCAATCTTCTGAACAAATAGCTTTGTAAGGATATGTATTTAGATTAGTCTGTGAATTTGTACACTCAGTCGCAATTCTCCGTCGTGTGTTATCTCCTAAAGCGACTGAATTGTCGTTTATTTTACATTCTTCTGAGTTGTCTTGGTTTACTTCAGGTTGATCTTTTACTGGGGATTCATTTCGTACTGAGTTTTCTCTGAGTAATGATACATCTTGGTCACTGAATTGTAACTTTTGTGGATAAATAATGCTTGTCTCCCGATCTTCTTCCATTACTGTTATTCGCTTTTTCAGTAGATTAACCTTGTTTATTGAAAAACAGAAATAACTGCTTAGTCCCAGTGCGTCCTCTCATAGAACACTACGTTTTTCCACTATTATATCAAGCTAACAGGAAGACACTTAAAGACAAATATCTTTCAAGTAATCAGCAACTGGTCGAACCACCAGTTTATCGATTCCGATGCAGCAATAAGTGAAATAGTTAGTGAGCTCAGTTATGTTCGGTTTTTGACAGAGAAAACAATTATCCCTAGAGTTCTAGTACAAGACTTCGGAATATTCCATTTCATTAGCTTGCCTACCTACTATAACATTACATGTTTTCTTTAAATCTGTCTCAGGATCTGTGGGTAAGTATCCAAAATGGTAAATACCAGAAAAATCTACCTATAGAATGGTGTTCGCCATAAATGAATGGTTATCTCAAAATAATTAATCGTAATTATTGATTCTGGATCAGCTATATGAACCGGTTTACATCTCCATCAAGCAGTATTATTTGACCACATCTGCTAAAGGTGTTACCAACTGCTTTTCGATACCACCACCTACGGCTAAAAGTCTTAATTTCCGTTCTCTATGGTCATTTTTAATTTAGTAAAAATGTAAATAAATGAGGTTTCCTATATTATAACCAACTATCTCTTTATGATTTATTAAATCCGAGTAAGTTACAAGAAATAATTGGTTGGTTAGGAAATATACTCATCAGCATTATGTTACATGATGAGACAAACACCCTTACAATTCATCCCAACAAAAATTAGTCCTAAGGTCTGTTATTTGTCATTGTTTCACAAATAATAGTTCGAGCGTATCGTATATAATGCAACAGACTAGTTGCTTCTGTTTCACTGAAAATCTTATTTTCGTTAAAAAGTCTACATCATTATCTACAGTTGGTTTGCACGATCTTCGAAGTTTCCTGATTTTAACTAATGGATCAAATAGTCTAAATTGAACTAAATATAACTAACCTGAAGACGTAATGCCTCAATAGTTGCCTCCATATGAGTACGTGCTTCAATCGGTAATGAATTTCCTAATTGTGCCATACGTTCTTCATGCCAGCGAGTTTTCATATCGTTCCACGCCTTTTCCTGTTGACGAAGAGAAATCTCTGCTAAACGTGCCCTATTACGCTCTTTTGATATAGCCTCCTTCAAGATCTACAAAAGAGGAACAGGTATCCAGTCGTTATACACAAGGCCTTTCAAAGAAACCTAACACAGCTATAGTAAGGGTATCGTTTAAAATCATTTAAACTCGAAATCATCTGGAGAATGGTATGGTGTTTGGAAATCACCTCAATCTTTCTTTTACGAGAGTAGAAACATTCCTGCTTTCGCCGCATTCTTATATCCATTACTCATTCACTTTCTGATTCTTTAGACTAACAGTGAGTTAAATGGGACTGGGTCTTTCCAAAACACAGGGATACTGCAGAGTTCGTATAACAATATGTTATGGAATTGTTGGTTCCCATGGTTTACATCACCGGATTATCCTATTAGACGAGTATCAAGACCCAGGAAGCACTGGGTATCTGTTTCGCCATAGTGTGCGATTACTCAACAGCGCTCGTCCACAACCCCACCGGGAATCGGACCCATGAGTCTCAGGTCTCGATGCAAACATTCAACCGTTAGACTACTGATATGTTGTAGTATCAGTTTATTTGTTAAGCCCATATACTTTATCCTAGCTACTGGCCAAGCCAATTCGCCTCGCTCTCGAGTTGGCTTCCCAGCCATCTCCAATACGCATCATCTTTCGCCTCGCTCTCTCGCTTGCTGCCCACTCGCTCGTTCATATTCGCTCAGGTGTTGTTAGCTTTCGAACCTGAGTTATTCGACAATAAACTGTAGTTGCTGCTATCCTTTATCTTCTGATTTTACGCGCCGTTAAGATTAGAATTATAACGGTTATCGAACTAAACGATTAACGAATCGCGGCAGTACAATGTCATCCATCGGCCTACATGTCGAGTTTCTATCGATTCATATTTTGCAAAGCTTAGGTCCGATCGGTGATGTGTTTCTATAGGAAGAAGAGACATCTATCCGCTGCTTCCTGGTTCTCACTTATTATCTACGACTACTCTGCGATGTAAAGTATGAAATACTGTGTGTAATGTTCAGATTGAAGTACATCAATCGTTTGACCGCACTTTATGTCATAGGTTTAGTTGGCGGTACTCAATAAACAAACATCTTAGTGCAGCATAAGTTTCACGTCCGAGCCTGCATGGTCCCGATGGTGTTTCACGTTGTTCTGTTAGTAAATCGGCATCAGATGTTAAAGGATTTCGTTCTCTATCATAAAGCCGAATGGTTTAATCACCAAGATTTCTAGGTAAAATCACCACCAAGAACCCCAAAAAAAGAGCTATATGTTGCGTCTTCCAAAAATGTCAACTTTCTGTTTTACCTAAATATCACGAAATATCCTCAATTATATCAATTGATATGAACATTAATAAGACCGCGAAATAATGAAATCTTCAACAGGAGCAATACTTAAATTGACCATAGAATTTTCAAAAGTTTAACAGTTTGATCAATCAATAGGTATATCGAAATATATCCAGTTTGTTGACTAATGAGAAAATAGATTAATGACTTCAAATTCAACAGTCAGATAACGGAAAATTCCGTAAAAATGAATTTATAAACAATGACTGTACAAGTATTGCCAGCAACCATTGAAATTTCGATATTGGCATGACAGCCTGTTTATCGGTGTCTGGGGTAATTTTAAAAGCCAACTTCTCTTTAAATTTACACTGGGAACGTATTTTTAAAAATGAAGAGAACTTCATGGTTACACCGTCCAGCCCAGAAAATGCAACATCATGAAAATCCAATAAGCTTTAAATCTCTGCTACCTTCATTCAGAAAACTCGGAAGAAACTTGAAGTATAACCAATACATTACTGTTTAGTTTGAAGTGTAAGCATGAATTGAGCAGTTATAAATCATAGATATAGATACCTTTTTATTTGTATGTTGTCAACTATACCTTTAACTCTGAAAATTTCACATTCTGGCCTCGTTGAATCTAAAAAAATACTCGATATTTCCTCCTCCATAAAATAACATTTTATTAATCTTTCCAAACATTATACTGATATTATTAATCAATAATAAACTTCTCCTTTAAGCTTAATTATAAACAGAACTTCACGAATATAAAAAACAGGAAAGTCATTGTAAATTATTACTTTTCCGTTGAATTTTATGTAAATTATACAGTAATATTTTGTTTCAAGGTCATTCATCAACCGAGAAATCGTTCATTACTTTTGAGTTACCAAGGGATGTTGGTGCTAATGTCTTACGTATGCTATTTTAAAACAATACTGTTTATGAAGTAATATTTATATATCAATGATAAATACCTACCAATACTTCTTCCTTTTGTTTATTCTTCATTTGTTCAATTTCATTTTGAAATGATTCGGATAATGTTTCTTGTGTATTTCTTTTCTCTTGTACAGCTTTCTGTAATATCATGTCTAAATTAATTATTTTCTCTTGACTTTCATTCAGTCGCTTTATAAAAGAGACCATTGAAAAATTATCACCAGTCAATTATCAAATATTTTTATAATTACATTTTAAATATGTAGTTATATAATTGACTCATTTGCCAGGTATTTGAGGATGAGATAGACTAAATTTGAAGGCTAATAAAACAAATCACTCACCCCAAATTAAAGTAGGTGCCGTGGGGTTAGTTTGATAATTGTTCTTATAAAATACTCTGAGTTAACATGAAACTAAAAGGATCAATAGTAATGACCAAATTATATCTTGGATCCCAACCGAATAAATTTAAGAAAACAGGATAATTGAATGTATAAATTATATTAGATGATTTAAGCTACTATTTATAGTTAAAATATTCTATCTAAATAGTACAGTTAAGTTACTGACTAATCAACATATGATCATTTAAGAATAAGGATTAGTATAACGAAGTGACCATTAACTCTAATACAACAAAAATTGATTCCATAATTTATCAAGAATAGAAAAGATCTCAAGCATTTATACATTAATTTGATCATTTCAGTGGTTTAATTTTGACTGCTGAATTTAAATGTCCATTAATTAAGGGATCCAGGTTGTCTATAGAAAATTAGTCTCATAAGGCACTACAAAAATTACGAATATAGTTAATTTTAACGTGGGAAATTTTCCTAACCTTTTTAGATATTCGATTTCTATTCATTCTTCATAAATACATTTTGACTATCTACATAAAGACTCCAAAACCTAATATTTATATATGTATAATGAGGAAAGCAATATATATATATATATATATATATATATAGAAACTAACATATGTACATACTTTATTTGCTTCTTTTAAGCGAGTTTTATATTCTTTTTCTATTTCTATCAATTTTTCATTAGCCTTCGTTGAAAGGGAAAAAAAGACTTTCATAAACAGTAACAGAGGTTAACCAAGTTAGAATAGACTAATAATCTATCAAAACTTTCTGATAGAAGTTTGTGACATATAAGCTTCATTTACAGTAAAAACATACACTTTCTTTTTTGATATATTTCTTAGGTTATTTGAAGAGGTAAACTGTTTTAGAGAAAATTCTTAAGGATAACGTAATATATTAATTGAAATCATGAGTCAATTGAAGCTAAACCACCATGGAAAACCTGGAAGCACCGAACGGCGGTTTCACCCTATTGTGGGACTCCTCAGCAGTACGCATCCACGATCCCGCCTCACGAGATACGAACCCGGGACCTACCAGTTTCGCGCGCGAGCACTTGACCGATAGACCACTGAGCCGGCATTCAACAAAGTCCCACAATAGGACGAAACAGTCTTCCAGTGCCTCCACGTTTTACATGGTGGTCTAGCTTCAATTGACTCATGATTTCAACTATATATAATAAAAAAACTAAAAATTCCCACAAAAAACGCAGATAATATATTCAGCACTTTTATTTCCATATTATAAATTACAACAATTGAAACCTAAGCGTAAATCTATCCAGATTGGTAGATTTAACTCCACTAAAATTATTCTTACACTCATAACTCAATAAAAATGACATTGATGTCTTCGTTTATCATCCTGAATGTTGAACTAAACTAGTTTTTTCTTCACTAAAGTACTCATTTGCAATATAGTGTGGTCTACTTATATCCATATAAGTAGAATATGGTGAGGGTCAGACGTTCAATGTATTTTGGCTGAAGATCGATAAGGAAAGATCAGGAATGACGCACAATCGGGACGAAAATGCATGAACAATGAAATCAGAAAAGGAGGACTGATATTTGTGGAAGGAACAGTTAACATTGACACAATTGATTGTTATTTTGCAAATTAACTGTTGACTGTATGGTTATCAGAATTTAGCGAGATAGTCTGTAATTTTTGTCTAAATACATTCGATTGTCCCCCAACTCGTCTTCTGTCCACTACAGTATCATTGATGAATGTTCTAAATTATAATGTTGTATATCACTTTATTCCTTCTTTCTAATTGAAGTATAAAATATATAATAACACAGATATAACTACTTAATCTATACCATCAAATTACATACCTGAGAAGATATTGTTTTCAATTCTTCATTATGTTCTTTTTGCAATCTTAGAATAGTTTCTTGATTTTTACATTGTTCTTCATTTAAATTACTTTCATGTTTACTAATTAATTCTTTACGTTCTAATTCACGTGCTAAACTAATTTCTGATAATTGTTCACGTCTTAATTCTACTTCTTTCAATGCTATACATCTAGCTTCTTTAAGTTCAGCTTCAAGTTTTACAACATCTAACTTAGATAAATTTAATTCATTAGTTAATGTTTCAATAATTTGATTTTTCTCATTTTGAATCTGAAAATTTCAGTGTAAAAAAATATACAATTTTAATAAACAATGAAAAATTAAATTATAAATATTTAACTGATAATTAATTTATTTTTATTAATTTAATTTATTTGGCTTTTTTATTATTTTATTTTTGTGTGAATATGAATTTTTTAAAAAGAAGATACTTCGGATCTGCTGGACAGACACTATCAGCAACAAGCTACTGTGGAAGAGAACAAACCAGATTCCAACGGAGTAAGAAATCAGGAAGAAGTGCTGAAAGTGGGTAGGACATACATTGAGGAAATCACCCAACTGCGTCACAAGGCAAGCCCTCACATGGAGTCCTGAAGGCCAAAACGAAAAGAGGAAGACTAAACAACACATTACGTCGGGAAATGGAGACAGACATGAGAAGAATGAATAAAAGTTGGATAGAATTAGAAAGGAAGGCCCAGGACAGAGTAGGTTGGAGAATGCTATTCGGCGGTCTGCGCTCCATTGGGAGTAACAGGCGTAAGTATGAATATGGATGATCCGTTGAAAGAAAAGAAAGCATTGATTGTTATAGGAGTCAAGTTTGAAGGAAACTAACTGTTTCCAATCTCAATAATCACATATACCAAGCCGTTATTAACAATTTACAAATCAACAATAAATATGTTTTTTTATGATTTAAGTAATCATTAATTAATGTGATCTCTATACGTCTAATATGTGTATCAACGTGTAGATTAGAAAAATGTTTGATAAATAAATATTAGTTCTAATATAGTGTGTGCTACTGATGTTGATAGATATAAGTAGTATGTATCATCAGTAGAAAATGAAATAGCTGGAGGTACAAGTCTAAGTAGTTCGATGAAAAGAGAATGAGAGCGAAATTGATTGGTGTGCAAACGATAGAACAATGAAATCTGAGACAATTGACCACTATAAGCGAAAGGAACAGTCGAGTTTGAAACAATTGATTGTTTTTGCAAATGAAGTGTTTACTGTGTGGTTCTCATATTTTGCTAAGAAATTCTGTAATTTTGTATACAAGTATATTCGATTGTGTTCACTTGTGTTCTAGTTCACCACATTAATGTATGCATATTAAACACAAGAATTCAGATATTTTAATATGCCGTTTTTTGTAAAAATTCGTTCTACTTGACATAATTGATTGAAGGAAACTATATATTAGCATTATTACAACTATACTTTGTCCACTAAGCTAAACTTCCAATAAATCATAAATATAAAATATATCATTGATAGACAATATCATATTTTGCGAAATTCTATTAAACGTTGCAATTTAGTTGATGTAGGACGAGTTAGATAACCTATAGAGTGGTGATTTGAATTCTGTAATAAATTATGTTAGCAAACAGACAACAGTCTGTCAACAAATACAGTTTTAAATAATATAATTAATAACTAATTTCATGGTTTTGGTTTTAAATTTCAATTCTTAATTTCTATAACAACTAATTTTTTTAAATATCTTTGAAAACAAAGCTAAAAGATTTATAGTACCACGTGCAGCATACTCCGAAAGTTAAGTAAAAGATTTATTTACTATTGTTGTGAATGAGAACACAAGTGAACACAATCGAATATACTTGTATACAAAATTACAGAATTTCTTAGCAAAATATGAGAACCACACAGTAAACACTTCATTTGCAAAAACAATCAATTGTTTCAAACTCGACTGTTCCTTTCGTTTATAGTAGTCAATTGTCTCAGATTTCATTGTTCTATCGTTTGCACACCAATCAATTTCGCTCTCATTCTCTTTTCATCGATCTTCTTAAACTTGTACCTCCAGCTATTTCATTTTCTACTGATGATACATACTACTTATATCTATCAACATCAGTAGCACACACCAAACTATCATTCAACTTTGCTAAATTTTATGTGCTCTACTGATATCTATATCATAATTTTCCGGGTGTAATTTGATTTAAAATTAATAATACATTCACTTGGTGTTGTTTACATGTACCTTACCATTGTAATTTAAGACTAAATAATCGATCTCTTGTTGGCATATGTGTATCCTGTGCGGACTGCCTCGATATTGCCTCAAGTCACAAGCTGTATAAGCAAAGATGGTTAGTGGTTAGCAGTGAAATCCAGGACGCACGTTTCATCCCATTTGAGACTCGTCAGCTGGATGTACCTACATCTCAGTGTTGCTGTTCACTCTGGGACTCAAATCCAGTACCGTTCGCTTCAAACGCCATCACGTTATCCACTTAGCTACTACTAATCAATTACATTGTTTGAACTAACTTGATTTAACTAGCTTTCAATAAATTTATATTTTATACCATGAATACAAACAATAGAATTCTAATAATAATTTTTATTCCATTTACTTTAATCGTTTGATCATAAATTTAGATAAAATTAGAATATATATATGATATACATGTATTTTTTTAATTACTAAATTAATATCTATATCAATCTTTATATATTTTAAAAATGGTGTGGAAGATTTGAAACTCAAGTGGGTGATTTTGATGGAGTTTTGTTCTCTAAACTGGATGGTTTAGTCGTGGAGCTTTCATCGTCCTTCTGAACGACATCATCAGCCTGGAGTTTGTGCTTATGATGTCGTTCAGAAGAAAGGATGAAAGCTCCACAACCAAACCATCCAGCTTGGAGAACAAAACTCCATCAAAATATTTTAAAAATAAATTCAATCAATAATAATAATAATAATAATAATAATAATAATATAAAAATTACATTTTCAATTTTTAATAATAATTCATTACGTATTATATTTTCTTTTTCTTTAAATAAATTTTTTAAATTATTTAATTCATTTTGTTTTATTAATAAAATTTCATTTTGTATTTGTTTTTGTTTATATTTCCATTGTTTTATTTGTTTTAATAAATTTTCATTTATTATATTTATAAATGGATTTAATTCATTTGTATAATATTTATGAATTTGATTAAATTTATTATATTGTTCTTCTTGTAAATTTGTTATTTTAGTAAATAGATAATTTTCTTTTAATTCATATTTATTTTTAATATTTTCAATATTTTTATTTAATTTAGTTATTTCCATTTTTAATTGACTTATAATTTGTTGATATTTAATCTAAATTTTTTAAAAAATAATAAAAAAAATTAAATTATTGATTGATTATTTTATTATATTTTAATGAAAATTAATTATATTTCAAAGTTGAAATCATGAGTCAATTGAAGCTAGACCACCATCGAAAACCTGGAAGCACTGGACGGCCGTTTCGTTCTATTATGGGACTCATCAGCAGTGCGCACCCACGATCCCGCACTCGCAAGATTCGAACCCAGGACCTACCAGTTACGCACTACCAGTGCGCACTGCTGAGGAGTCCCATAATAGGACGAAACGGCCGTCCAGTGCTTCCAGGTTTTCGATGGTGGTCTAGCTTCAATTGACTCATGATTTCAACTTTGAAATATACTGAAATCTCCACGAATCCCCTTCTGAAAATTAATTAAATTATGGATAACTTTTTGTGAAGATGAAGATTATCAGAATTATGGAATGATATATTAACGCAATACATTTCAAACAATCTGATCACACATATACTTGTTAAGAACATATATATATATATAAATATTAAAGATCAACTAGACTGAAAACGTGTTAACTTGGAACAGTTTATAAGTGAAATAAAATCGTAAGATAAATGATCAGAATAAGTATGGTTTTATATGACAAACTGTCCGTGATTCATATGTTACAGAATTTGAATGATGTACTGTGCTTTAAACTTGGCCAATTTTTTGTGGATTATTAATTTGGACTTACAATTGTAGAACCTGATGAAAAATTATGGAAAATAATATTCTTCGTTCATGTAATTGTGTTTTAATATGATGGGAATTTTTCAGCGATAATAATAATTTTCATAGTTGAAATCATGAGTCAATTGAAGCTAGACCACTAAAGAAAACCTGGAAGCACTTCCAGGTCTAGCTTCAATTGACTCATGATTTCAACTATGGAAATACTGAAATCTCCACAAAACCCATTCTGATAATAATAATAATAATGTGAAAACAATTTGGAACCTAATCACTCTGGATAATAAGCTTTTGTGGTGTTCTATAAAATTGTAAAAGGGAGTATACTAAGGTTTATTTAAGCCTTAGCCATACAAAAATTGAAACCCTCTTTGTGTATTCAAAAACAGTTTGTTCTCTCCTTAAACCTACCCTGGTAATATATGCTTATTATCCAGAGCGATTAGGTGTCAAATTGTTTTCACATTATTTTTATTATTATTATCCTTGTCTATTCTTACCCCCATTTCCAGTCTAGTTGACTTTTTATTTTTATATATAAATGTTCTTAACAAGTATATGTGTGATCAGATTGTTCGAAATGTATCGCGCTAATATATCATCACATAGTTCTGATAATCTTCATCTTCTTATTACACTATAGAAATTTGTTCAAGGGACTGATTGCTTTAAATTTTGTGAACTACTAATGGATTAATATTATATATATATATATACTCTTATTGAATAACTACTATTCAGTAACTAGATTATTTATATTTATATTCTCCTTATTATAAGCTTTATTTTGACCTATAGATTATTATTATTATATGATTTACTGTTCTTAAGTTATGTTCACTTTATTGATTACAGTCTCCCACGATCACGGCCACTTTTTAGTTTGATCTTGTATAAATGTTATTTTCTATTTTATGATGTGATACGGTCTGTTTGGTTGGTATATAAACCAAGCCTTCACTTGGAATCCTGAGGGTCAAAGGATAAGAGAAAGAATAAAGAACATATTACGCCAAGAAATGGAAACAGATATGAGAAGAATGAACAACAACTGGATAGAACTAGAAAGGAAGGTCCAGAACGAAGTGGGTTAGAGAATGCTGGTCGGTGGTCGATGCTCCATTTGGGGTAACAGGCGTAAGTAAAAAGTCCAACTTTATGTGTTCAAAAACAACTGTACGTTGACCTTTGTTTACCATGGTTCTAGTGAGTGAATGTCATGCTAAATAAGAAATTTCGACCTTATCTTCAAAACTGTATTTACACGAATAACATGTTGCTTGTATGTGACTGACGAGAAAGCACGAAATGGTACTATCTCACAAAATTTGTCTTCTCATTTCTCTGTTTAAAGTAAGTAAATAAGTAAATGTTTGAAATAAATGATTCTTATAGTAAAAGCCATTATTGGTGCTCTGGACTCAACTGGACGGGCTAGGCGAATAAAGAACCACTAAGGACACTAGACTGTTCATACTGGTCGAGCGTCATTGGTTTAGGTCAGTACTAAAATTGAATAAATAATATTTTGATTGGCGAATAAATCAGGTGAGCCGGGCTCAAAGTTACAACACATTTATATAAGCATATTATTGGAAATATCTTTATGGTAGATAAATAATTTTTCTAGTTATCGAAGAAACTCTACATTCAAGTAAACAAAACAACTGTTTCTTTTAGAAAAAATAATAACAATGTTGCAGGTAAAATCAACAGAAGGCTATATACGTCATCAACCAGAACCTATTATGCAGTCAAATTGATTATCTTGTGTTGAGTAACATGTTTATTAAGATGATTAAAGATTGACAGATAACCATAATAAGTGACATCATACAGTGCCCAAGGTTGTTTGTCTTGTTTATCCAATAGAGATTAATTAATTAAACCAGATGGTTTCTTAGTCCAGATCACTCCATGCTAGTTGGTTTTGGAACGAAAAACTTAGCATTCACAGACGAAGTCGAACTGTTTACCGTAGTTGGGATGTTACCCATTGATAATCAGCATCTCTTGTAGTCCTTTTATTCTATAGCTAGAGAGGCTTCGAAACGTTTACTTTGAAAGGTAGTGAATCTCAACCTACTCCGTAGAATTCCACTGTAAGTGATAAGGTCCGAAAACTGTATAGTTGATGCAGACATAGCTATTCGCAGAAACACCGTGGGAGATAGATGTATATCAATCATCGTTTGAGTTCTGTGGTCACTCTCAAATCAACAAGACCACTACTACCATGACTTCTTTTTCAGATTCATCTAGAAGAGATATCCCCCCCACGATATGGGAGACTGGTACGTACCAACACATCAACAATATTAACTTTCACCACCAACGGTGAGTACAAATTCACTCATTTCTAATAAGACAGTTACATTGATAGAACAGAAAAAAGGGGGCACTTTATAGTGTTTGAACATTTTCCAGAAAGCTTATGCTTAGGAGATGATAGGACCCCCAATAGTGAGATTTGTTGACACGATTAATGTAAATCATTAGATAGAGACCTTGAAATCTTTAAATGTGATAAGTAAACAACCCGTCGCTAATCTTCTAAAGTCTCCTAAAGTTGTGATTGTTAAGCGCTTGAAACTCTATTTGTGTATTCTAAAATATTTTAGTTATCAGTCCTTTATCACCCCGCTTACATAACCTTTATTTGACTGCATCATTTTTAATCTATTGCTTTCATTCGTTCAAATCATTTTTTAACTCTTTTCCTGTCTATAATATCATTAATTAACCGACAAGGTTTAACTTATCCTTACATATCATTAACCTCTATTTATTTCATGGTGTAATCAGCTTTATAACTTTTTGTCCCTATCTTAATCAATGTCCCAAAACTTAGACATATGACCTAATAAATTCACTTGGAAATTTCTTTAAAAAAATCGAAACTAATAATTTCCAGATATCCCTTAGTCAATAGTCTCATAACACAATAGTTCGATAACAAAATACGAGTAGTCCTTTAATAATTGCTTATATATGTCATAAACTATGAAAGACTGACACATTACTCATGCAGCCATACAACTTTCTAATTAGAAGAAACGGGGTTAAAAACTTTAATCAACAAGTTTAAAAGCACTACAGTTTAATCGATAAAATGGTCTGTTAAACAAGTCAGTAGCGGTTGAAATAGATGAGACTGTAATTTATGAAGGAACCAGTTAGATTTAGGATAATAGATTTTGAATTTTGGCACGAAATTAATTCATTCACTTGGCTAAATAGAGTTTTGACGTTATAACTGATATCAGCTCGTAATGAAAACCTTAAATCTAATTCCTAACCCTAACTATCGACTGTAAATATTAATCTTAATTCCTCACACTGGTTTATAACCATTTAGCCGTAATATGTAGGTAGACATCCTCAAGGTCTTTTTAGCGTCGCTCAAAGGTCGTCCATAAATTATAGTCTCACCATGACATCTAATGAATATTTATTATGAATATGAATTTAATGAAACCCTAGAAGACATGAATAAACTTTCAATAATTATTTAAATGTACTAAACACATATTTATATATTTTATTTTAAATTTATCTTGTAAAAATCAGTTTACTTCATCATATGACTTTGATTCCTTGGTTTCTTTAATAGATTTTTGCAAAACTGTAATCTCATCACTTTTAATTAATAAACATTTTTCATAACCAAGTGTTTCAGCTTCTTTAACTTCTGAAACTAGCTGACGTTCATACGACAGACGACTCTCTTCCAGTTTTGTATTAAACTTGAAAAGTAAACAAATAAAAATAAAACTTCTATTAGGATTTTTTTTGAATGTTATGCCACAAATAAAGGTTTACTGTCGATACCAAACAAAATTTTTTACGAAAGTCTACTGTAATGACGACCTATATTTTCGATTGCGCTTCAGTAGCCTCTTCCCCAACAAAAATTGTCTCATTCATGCTTTTTTGATTGTAATAGAAAAAATCATAGACAGTAAAATGACTTAATATTACTCTTTCGATTTCCTGATAGCCACTTGCTTGTGCAATTGAAAGACTCAAGCAAACAATACAAAGTTAATTTAAACTTTATCCCATTGTACAAGCTAGCAACTAACAGGATTCAGTAGCTAAATCGACAACGAGACACTTTGGAACGAATGGTACTGAGCTTGAGTCCCGGAGTGAACATCAGCCCTGGGATTCAGGTACACCCAGCTGACAAGTCCCAAATAGGACGAAACGTGCGTTCTGGATCCCACTGCTAGCCACCATCTATCTTTGCTTATCTTTACTACGTTTGACACTAATCGTAACCTGAAGGTATCTTGATTAATAATTATCACTGTTAGAAAAATGTTAATCACTTCATTCATTACTGACATGGTGGTTAACTCAAAGGGTCAATAAGCTGCTTGTAACAAACCTTACACTCCACAAACATTTCATGATATCAAGCGCTCTTATTTGTATATGAAATTTGTTGAACGTTGTATAACTATAACTGAACGTCATGTGATAATAAATACAAATTCCTGTCTAAAACTAGAATGACCAAGTTTAATTAAGCCAATAATAATAATAATAATTACCTTACACATTTAAACTAACATTTCTAATAAAAACCTTCATCAAAAGGTTCTAATATTAAAAAGTACCTCAAAGTCATTATCACATATCCTAATCCAGGGTTTACACCAACTGAAGTGGAGTTATCGTGAAGTTCAAAGACAGTTTTACTATCGATAATCTAATCAGAATTGTAGCTGCAAATATTTATTTCATTATACTACAAGTTTGTTATATCCCTATAACAATAGTGAATGGTAACTTTGGGATCCATTACGGACCAATATTATGCATATAATTTTTATCGTATATTTGCTAAATAATTGAACTACTCATATTCATGTTCCTTTCATTGTGAGCCTTATTTTAACCCTTGGACTATTATTGTACGATTTACCATTCCTGAGTTATACACAGTCTATTAATTACTGCTCCCCCTATTCACAGCCACATTTGGTTAACTCTTGTGCAAATGTTATTTTCTATTTTATTGGTACGTTGTGGTCAGTTTGTTTGGTATATAAACTCAGTATGTTTGAAATACAATGATTCATATTGCAGATGCTGTTATTGGTGTTCTGGACTTAACTGGCTGGGCTAGGCAGAAAGCAGGACCGATAAACACTCTAGACTGCTCGTACGGTTTTCGTGTGTCACTGTTCCAATCAATAATTCTCTACTCTCTGATTGGCGGTCTTATCACGTCATACATTAACTGGGCATCCACTCAGCCACAAGTTTTAACAAAGGTGAACACTGTCGTATATTTCTTTAAAAAATGGCTTGCCGGACCAAGTTAACATTCTGTTGAATGGCTCGAGATCATTTTAGATGTTACTCATATCTGAAATCAGCTTAATTCATTTTTTTCATATCAAGTTATATTTTCTGAAAGAATTTTTTGTTTAAAAATCTTAGATCATTCTTTTTCCAGAAAATATCCTGATTACTTGATTGTAGTCAAAAGTAAATAAATGTATGATCCATTTTCATAATACTAACGAATGTTCAAAAGATGATTTTCTGAATATATTTGAATATTTTAAATATAAACGGAAATTGCCGTATTCTGTAATTTTACTCCACAAACTAATTTAATTAACCAACCATTGAAAACCAAAAGGCATTAACCATTCATTACGTCCTAGAGTAGAATTCCTCAACAGCTCAAATCCTCTATATCTGCATCAATAAAACAGTGATTATTTATCTATTTCTTCTTAAGTTTAAATCGTTCTTGTGCTGTTGTCTACTCATAATAAAAATTAACTGTTAAACAGTAATTAACGAAAGAACAGTCTAAATGAACTTACGAATTAAAGTCATTCATTCAATCCACACTTTCAGTTGTTGTTTTATCACGCTTTTCTGACTAATTATGGTCAATTTTATCAAAAGCCGACATTTTTTTATCATTTTTAAAAGTTATAGTCGAAAGAAAAAGCCAGTATACCCGCACTTATAATTAAGGAATCAAATTAATTTTAAAAATCAATAGTTATGAAATACGCCATTATATTGAATACTATTGTAATAGTCTCATTTTATCAACGAAGTAAAATAGGACTATATTATACGTGATAAGACTATTTTAAAATTTAAAATAGTCTAATATATACCTTGGTAACCTTGGGAACTGACTTTGAATTGTTGAGTTATAAATTAAACCCTAATTGAGTTATACAAACCAGTGGCTACATTGCAACTTGATCGATAGAATTTACTTGGCACCAAAAGATAAAGAAAACGTGACACTTGTCACCACTTAATGAACAGTCAATCTTATGTATCTTAGTCCTGTTAGAGTACCGTTTTGATCCTAGTAGCTCTGTGGTAACGTTTTTGGCTATGAAACTATGTGACACGGGTTCGAATCCAACATGAAACACCAGTTCTCCTAAAATTACAACCATGCCTTACCGATGAGTATCAACTAACAGAAAACCTAAGTTCAGAATTTTCTTCTGACTACTTCATACTATTATGCAGAAATAATTATTTATTTAGGCCTGGCTAACATGGTTGAATGAGTTAAAGTTCTGTACATTAATAAGTTTTTGACTAAAAGAATTTCATAATTTATTCTTTATTGTAGTTACTTAAATTAATGATTAAAATATTGGTGAAAGTTATATGTGAAAATGATCATGCATCATTATCTCAATGAAGATAAGTGACTTTAAATATAGTCAGTTAACAAAAAGATAACTAGCTTGAAAATGCGAAAGGTAGTCGCAAAGAAACCTTGGTGATAAATTTTAAAGGTAAATGTTCATAAGTGTATGATTTAACTGTATCATCAATGAAACATGCATACATTTTAAGATCAAAGCTATGGTTACAAAATATCGTTGTTCTTTTCAAGATGCGAATCAACCTCATTTCAGATGAGGTGCTTATGGATATCAATGAGTGGATGATAATAACTATCAATGTATTTTTTGAAATTAAAATAAAGATAGAACAAATATTGATGCAGAATAATATGAATTCATTATATTTCGTGGTTTCTCATCAGCTGCTTACAACCAAATATGCATTAGTTGTAAGCAGCTGATGAGAAACCACGAAATATAATGAATTCATATTATTCTGCATCAATATTTGTTCTATCTTTATTTAAATTCATAAAGGGAACTAACTGCATGATATTTTTTGAAAGTTCTAGTCAAGAAGATCAATAAAGACACCTTAGAGTAATTGCTTCAGAATCATCGTGTAGTTTATTTAAGTATACATCCTTCAACACATAAGATTATAAGTCATAGAATTAAATATTTCAAATGACTGAAATATATTACAATACGGTTATCAATTAATAAATGTCATCAAACTTGGACCACATTTTCTGTGAATGAATGTATTTATTAACCCTGCTAATTAGTTATACTACTGTCTGACAAATACGTGGTTCGAGATCAAAAAATCTTTATTTTACAAAGTTTAGAGTATATGAGTATGGTTTCCTACAAAATATTCCCAATTTGTGACAGTACAACTATCTAATCTCCATTTCTATTTTTCAAAACATCTCTGGAAGTTCTCGTAACCTCATTCAACCTCTCCCATTGTTTCATGTGTTACCTAAATTTTTTTCACAGACAATAAGAAATAGTTCATAAGCTACTATTTAGGCAGCGAATTGGTAATTGGAAACCACAAGACACTTCCGTATACTAGACAACTTTATAAACCCAGGAGGTCAGTGGTTGTTCTGACCTTTCATTATCCTTATAGCTTTTATCATCGTCATTGAAACCAACATTACTCTCGAAAATATCATTCCTCTTAAACGCGTTATCTCCATAAACTTCACTCATCACTTAATAGATTTCCTTGAAGTTCTTCTCATGCTTTGTCATTCAGCGTAGTAATAGCTCACTTTGTGAATTTACCGAACAAATCATGCACATAAACCTAAAATTACAGAGTAAATCATTTAAAATTTTCTCTCAACAATACCTCATCTTTAATTTTTTCAAGGTTAGTTTCATACTGTTTTTCATTATTTGTTCGTTCTAATTCCATTGCGCATATACGCTTAGCGTGATCTGAACGAATTTGTTTTAATTCTTGGTTATGATCTTCAAGACACACATTATACTTTGATTCTAATGTTTTATATCTAAATACAAATGGAAATGAAAAGAACAGGTACATAATAAAATATCAGTCAATCAATGACTGATAATTTCCATCTTGAAATCGTAACTTCACAGAAAAATTCAAAAGAACTAGAGGGATGTTTCAATCCAGTTTTCAATTCCCAACTAGTGTAAACTTGTTACTGTGTACGGAATCAAACACAACACCTTAGGGTTACATTATTTTGAAAAATACCTTCCAAAAACTGGATGATGTACCACGAATTACGGTGAAATAAAGAAACATTACTTATCTAGTCCTTCAAATGATATCAATTTCCTATAATTGTTATATCTAAACGAAGAATAAATAAATGATAACTGCTAGGAATTATTTATGAACTAGTATTGTGGTGAACAGAACACTAGTTGGGGACAATCGAATGTATTTAGACAAAAATTACTGACTATCTCACTAAATTCTGATAACCATACAACAATCAGTTAATTTGCAAATTAACAACCAATTGTCTCATTCTTCACTGTTCCTTCTGCAAATATCAGTTCATCTTTTCTAATTCCATTGTTCATGCATTTTTCCTACCAATTGCGCTTCACTTCAGTTCTTTCCTTATTGGTCTTCTGACAAAATACATTCTATATCTGACCATCGCCATATGCTACTTATATGGATATTAGTAAATCACACTACTGTATTACCTGCATTATTATTGCATAATTATGAAGTAACTAGAGTATATATATATAAACAATAACTTAAAGGAAGGAAGGTATTTGTTTTACTGATCGATTTGTTTACCTACCTATCTGTTAGTTCATTTAAATCATATTGAACTTGTTTCAATTTTTTTAATGTTTCTTTCTCTTTTTCTGTTTTAACTTTTAACGATTCTTCTATTTCATTTCTTTCTGTGATAATATTTGTTAATTGTTCTTTTAAATTTTTAATTTGATTATACTTTTATTAATAAAACAAAAATATACAGAAACGAATTTTAGCTTTTAAATTATAAAATGTTTCTTGGTAAATGTTTCTTCAAATATAAAAAAAAGAAAAAAATTATATATTAAAATCCTTAAAGAAATTAGAGATTATTAAAAAGAATGGTAACTTTTGAGAACTATTTATGGACTATCATGATGCGCACTGCTGAGGAGTCCTATAATAGGACGAAATAGCCGTCCAGTGCTTCCAGGTTTTCCATGGTGGTCTAGCTTCAATTGACTCATGATTTCAACTATGAAAATACGCATATTTTCTATCGTATAATTGTTAAGTAACTTAACTATTCATAGTCATTTTCCTCTTATTATAAGCTTTATTTTGACCTATAGTCTATTATTATAATATTTACCATTCTTGAGTTATCCGTAGTCCATTATTTACTATTCCCCCTATTCACAGCCACATTTGACTGAAACTTGTACTAATGTCATTTTCTATTTTGTGGTACGATGTGGTCAGTTTGTTTGGTATATAAACTCAGTATGTTTGAAATACAATGATTCATATTGCAGAGGCTGAGATTGATGATCTGAACTTAACTGGCTGGGCTAGGTAGAAAGCAGGACTGATAAGTACTCAAGACTGCTCATACGGTTTTCGTGTATTATTGATCCGATCGATAAATTGCTGCTCTCCAATAGGTGGTCTTATCACGTTATACATTAACAGGACATCCACTCGGGCAAACACGTCATAACAAAATCTAGGTACATTTTCCCATTCCATTTTCCCTAGTCATTCAATACATTTATATTAAACACAAATATTATGATTATTCAATGATTTGAACCTAATTTATGAATAAAAACTCACTTTAACAATAAAATAAAATACTTTTAAAAAGTCAGATGTATAAACAAAAAATATTCTGTACAACTAATTCTCTTCAGATTCCAATTATTAATCTTATAATTTCATTCAACATATAAACTTATTCAATCTAATAATATATATTAGTTATACGGACATTAAGAATTTTACTTTATTTTATAAGTAATTCTAAATTATCAGTATGACGTTGTGGAGATTGTTAAGTTTTTTTATTGAGATCATGAATGGATCGATGTTATACCACCAGTGTAAACCTGGAAGCACTCAATGGCCGTTTCGTTCTAGTACAAGACTCTTCAGCAGTGCTCATCCACAATCTCGCTTGCAGGATTCGAACCAAGTACTTTCGCTCTAACGTGCGAACCCCTAACCTCTAATCCATTGAGCCAGCATCCAACGGTGTTATTGTCTAGCCACAACCATTCCGCGAAATGGCGCCACCATCTTCTATTGTCTGAGATAGATACCTACCTCTACCTGACATGAATTAGCTGTAATGTGAAATGATGTCATTACCTTAAAGCTAACCACTTTTGTTTATTCAATTGTAGAACCTAGAAAATTTATAAAAATGAATATTTTTCATGTTTTGATATCTGATTGGAAATGTTTCCAGTGATTTACAAATGTATACATAACTAAAATGACAAATTGTTTAACTTCAATTTACCTGTAATTCCATTTTTGATTCTAGTTCTACAACAAGGGATTTATTTATTTCCAGTTCTTTAAAAGTAGATTCAGTTTTACTTTGTAATTCTTTCAATGTTTTTTCATGTTCTTGTATAAGAAATTCACGTTGTTCATTAGATTGTTTCAATAGATTTTCAAATTGTTTATTCATCATTGACTGTAATTGATTCATCTAAATAACGTGAAAAATTCATATTTTTTGAACGAATAATATAGATATAGATTTCCATATTAACAATAGAATCAACTACTACTAATCTGAACCTTGTAGCAAAGAGAAAATTTTCTAACTACATTTGTTATAACTTAACAAGCTCAATCATCTGAACCAATTAAATTTAATAATTAATCGCAGTTCCGTTTAAAAAAAAAGGTATTTTCGAAGAAAATAACATTTCTAAAACAACAAGTTATCATATTTAATAATGAAATTCAAGCTAATCAACTGTGAAGCATCAAATCAAAATTCTTCATAATAAATAGAATTCTTATATTTTAAAGTTTAAATCATCGTACTATCAAATAAAAAAAAAACATTTTTATTAGTATTGTAAAACTTATAAGCCCCCAAATGCCCTGGTACAGCCAAGGGTGAGGAGATTCAGCTCTCTCTCTTCCAGTGCTCTCACATGGCCACGTGCATACAACCACTGCCACAGAAGTCCTAAGTACTGCCTTTTCAAGGCGGTGTGTTGTTTACAAAACTGATAAGCCAAAAAGCAAATGTCCGGCACTTTAACCGGGTCGGTGGACACGGAGAGTACACCTGGAGGAGTTGGAAAACTCTGGTTCCAAATCAATGGTTCACACATGAAGTATGAACCAACTATTGGTCACCGGCTATCGTGAAACTGCATCTCCATACGTCGCTCTACTGCCTTGTGGATTAGACCTTTAGGTCAAAGGCTCCCAATGTGGACCACTAAGAAAACCACCTGCTCCGGTCTGAGCACCCGAACAGTATCCCAGCCCTCACACAACTCGAATGATTTATGTGGTGCATATCTATTTCGTGCCCCCTTGTACCAGTGTTCATGTGTTTAAATAAATAAGATGAAGAAACACCTTGTTGCTGAATCGCGTCACACATAGTTTCACTTAACTTACATATAATCTCATACCACAAGTTTCTTTAATAATTTGATCATCTAGTGTTTTGAAAACCATAAAATTAAAAACTGACTGTTCAAGTTTTGATATAATTTTGAGATAATATACATTATGAAATGACTTCAGATTGTGAATCATTAAAAATCAGAAAGCAATGGATAGTTGCTGTGTCATAACTTATAACTCCTCAGTAGTACAGAAGGATGATTTCAATGGGCATCGAACCTAAAGTCTTCATTTATCGTAATAATCATATTGATTAATCTCAACAAACAGTCAAAATAAAGATAAATCTAAGTTTTTTTATGGATTTACTTTCTCCTCAGAGCTACGTTTAATTTGATCAGCGTTGTTGACTGTATCGGATAATTGATTTTCTAGTTTATCTATTGCTTGACGAAGTTCACGATGTTTCAAATCAGCAGCTTGTTGTACAGCAATTAATTCAGCATTTTTACGATTCATAATTTTTGCTACTTCAGTTTCATTTTCTTTCCTAAGTTTAATCAAACGTTCATAAAATTCTGCTTCTATTGCTTGTGTTCTTTGTAAAATCTTCCAAATCGAAAAAATATTTAATAAAGTTTGATTTCAAATTTAGTATTTTTAGAGGTAGAAAAGAGAAATATAACAATGAAATAGCTTTTTTCAATGAATTAGTTTGTTTTATGACGTGTTTCATAGTGTTTATTATAAGCCACCTTTTGAATTAATGATTGTAGTGACATCTTTTGTTGTTCATAACTTACGGTCATTTGACTATAAAAGAGTTACGTGTATTAATAACAAAAAAATGCCCCATATCTACCAAAATTTATACATTTTGGCCTATACATAATCTTTTATCTTCCGTATTCAATTATGTGAATTATGAGTTTTGACAATAAAGGTACCATTGATTATCTGTTTAGGCTTATAATGTTCTAATTGAAAGTTTGAAAATGCAGAAAATAGATTAACCTGTCAATTGTGTGAGGAATATTTTAAAACCAGGTGATAAATAGCTTGAACAAAAAATTGTCAGATTATAAACGTTTTTGAAACAGAATACTTACTTTTTCATTGGCATTATATTGTAATGCTTTAAAGTGTTATATTAGTTGACCAAGCTTTCAATCGGTTAAGATATCTATTGTTATTGCTTGAACATATATTATTAAGGAGTATTTTTGAACTTTTCTCATTAATACTTTTTCCTTACACTTTAAATATTTCTAATAAAAGCAGAGACTGTAATAAATTTTAGTATATTTACATTGGAGTTAACAACAGAATCAACAGATCACGTTTCACTCTATTCGGAACTTATTCCCTGGAAGCCAATGAGGATTGAGTGGGCTTCAGTAGTGAATATAAACAATAGGATAAAACAAACTCTTTTGGACAAAAAACTCCAACAGCTTTAAACGATATAAGTATAATATTTACTCTAGTTTAGCATAAAAAACTCTAACCCCGCGGAATTGAAATACTGGCTAAATTCAGCTGAGAATCAGATATCATAAATATTTGGTGGGTATTCACTTAGCTGAGTTCACTCTTTGAGAATCGATACCTGCCTAAGGTGACGATCAACATACAAATAAGTCATTCTAAGCTATATATTACTAAGCAAGTTGATAAGTGAAACACTACTTATTAAGATGATAAGAATAATGGAAGTATGAAGATCATTCTCCGGGAATACAATATAAATATTTACAATGCATATTCATTGAATATATTTGTTATTAATCCAATTTTAAGACTTCAATGACTCACTGAATGTTACCGTACCTTTCATTCTCCACAAATTATTTTTAAACAATCATAAACTTGTTACGCAGTCCTAAACCATTACAGTCATCGTTTTATGTGTACTCATATTTGTTATTTGTGATTCGTCATAGTCTCGTATTTCGTATGTATAGTTATGTAATTCTGCAAACTGTAATAATACAGACTCATGCAATACACTTAGCTATTTTTTCTAGGCATTTGATCCGGAGTTTATATAAGCCCATACATAAACAGTTAGCAGGCTGATAGTGAGAGCGAACAAAAGATAATTTGTAACACCGGCACTAGATAAAAGGCATTCGAAATTTACATATGAATTAATTTGGCAAATTTTTAATGAATTACGAGTAAAATCTAGTTTTTGTAAATATTCTTGACCATGATTTTTTTAAAAAGATGTCGATAAAACCTCTACAATATTACTTTGAGTCCACGATAATGTGGAGAATTTTAAAAAGCTGACTTTAAACCTTAATCCACTAACGTGTTCAATCAAAACATTCTGTCTTATTACTGGCTGGCAAGCACATGAGATAATATAAAAGTTCAATTTATGGACTGATTCAAGACTATACTATTTAAAATTACACAAACTCAAGAAAATATTTGCGTAAATAGTAAACAAATGGACATTCAGCAATTAATTGTCTTAGTATGTTTAGCCATGACGAGCCTAAAAGAGTTACTACTGTTTAACTCAACGCTTTTAAATACAATATTGAGAGTATCTGATTTTTACTGTCCTTGATGAGTCCACTTTCAATTTCACTGCAATACAATAGTGCTTTATATGCAGAATAACTACTGGCAATCACTAATACTATAGCAGCAAATATAACACAACATTTATAACGTTTTATTCATGACTTTTGATGAGCAACTACTACTATGGGCCCCATACCTATAAACTACTACTACAGTTTCAACTGAACTTCAATTTATAACAAACACTAAAAAGGCCTTTAAATAAAAAGTAAATTTTACCCAACTATTGTAAACTGAACTTTTTCGAAACTAGAAATGTAAAAAACTTGTTTTTTACATACCTTCTTACCTTTATATTACTGTAATATATTTAAACCTACCTTAAACCGTTTAAAAGTGCATCAAGAGTACTGTACAGTTTACCAAATAAAAAATAATTCACATGGTCATTATCATGAATACATCTTTAGTTGGACAATTTTATTCATTTAGTACAATATTTTAAAGGGTAACATCTTTTCATAGAATGATTACAGAAGTAGTTTTAGTTCAGAGAAATAAAATTTATTAATAGTTTTCAACATACCTCCTTCTCTTGAAGACGAACAATGGTTTTCCGTATGTTCGGTAGTTCATAATTTTCTAATTTTCTTGAGTATTTTGTGGACTAATAGAGTAAGTATGTTAGAAGAAAATGTTAACGTACTTCATTGACCAGAACATGAACCTATCTAATTACATAAAAGTGTTCAAAGTCTGTTTTAAGCTAAAATCTACATGTTAAGGAAGAAAGTTTAAAAATACAAACCCTGACATCGTATACTTTGAGTTCTGTAAATGTTAAATACTCCTTTTGTAAAACCTCTGGCTGTCCGTTTTCACCAGAAATCAGTCGGCCTTTGCCACTGCTTTACTGGAGCTCCTTACAAGTGTCCAAGACTCAGATATTACGACTACTTTAATTTTTGTTGCAACATTCTCTTAGGGACCAAAACAAATGTTGGATACGCCAATTAATTTGCTCAGTTAGATGGCAACTTGAGATGGTCTTGTAGCTAAAACACTTTTGTTTTACAGCCAAATATTTGAAACTATAAAACATTTTTAGGCAATTTCAGTAATCAGTGTTAAAATTACTTATATATTTACCAACAACGTCTAGCAGGACGACAAATTCCCTCTTGGCAGGCTGTTAACCCTAAAGAGTGACATCTAACCAAACTACAGACATTCCCCAGACTACATCTCTCACTTTGAAAACCAAGTGAAGTTGTTCAAAATAAAGTCTCACTTAAACTCGTTACAGATTGAATAATAGGATTGGCTATCAAACGGTCGTTCAAGATCATACTTACATCAAATGTCATGTTAAATGCCAAATACAAAGTAACTTAGGACCACTTTTCAACGATTATCAGCAACGTATTTTTATTCGTGATGTATTTAACTGGTCTCAGAATTAACAACTTTTTAATATAATACTTTATTAGGTAATTATTAGAGCATGGTCAGTAAGATGTCACTAACGCCTAGATAGACATTCATCAGTTTAAATGGTTACTATGTTAGACGACAAATCACTGATCTCCAGTGAATCTACTAATACTCTGAGCCGTAGTTGGGAGAATCCCCCTCAGCTCTTCTCACTATAAACATATAGCAAGCTACAATAATAATTAAATATACCCCTTCTTGCTTCAAAAAACAGAAATCCTATATTCACTAGCCGTCAACAATGTATCATAATATTGGCAAACTAACCTCTAACTCATTTTTTCTTGAGCCTTTTATGTTTGTGTTCTCGAGCTCTTCATCTGTTGAATAAGAGCCTGATTCCTCCTCCGCATATTTCTCATTTCTGCCTTCATTATTATCTTCATTTTTATTTGTGTTATGATCATCAGACTTAAATGAATAGTTATTTTTATCTGGGGTCAAGCCCTGAAATACATTCTTCAAGTTATCGTCTTCTAATAGTTCGTTTTTAGCTTTACTATAAATTTCATTACTTTTATTGACCACATCCATCTCTCCATTTAAATTTTGGTGGCCCTTAGGCCCCTTGATTCTGAATATTTTTCTTGGATAAAGAGGTGGGGCTTGTCTTGATAACTTTTTACCGGGTAACACTTTTCTTGGCCGACATAATAAGGAGCGTTTACAAGTTAACTGATTTTGATCCTTCGCAAACTCCGTCCTAGACTTTGACTTAGTGAACTCCGAATTCAAACCGGAATGAATATGATTAGATGTATTCGTCTAAAAGTAACACAAATTCTACTAGTATTGTGATATTACAACTTTACAATACATTAATTTATAAACGTGAATATGAACAAATAAACGCATATATGAAATAATTCAGTGCTTATAATTGTGAGTAATAATCGTTTGGTCGTACAAGTTACGCATACACTAAAATCAAATAACGATTCATCGAAACAAAACTAATTAAGTGATGTTGCAATAATATTAAGATTTCAATGAAAAGTTTTTGTCGTTTTTACTACCTTGGAGTTTTGTATACTTGGCAGTGACATGTCATTAATTGCTAAGACATTTTAATATCGGTCCAATATTTGTGGCGGCGGATCGGACAACTGATTTGTCTGAGGTCTGAAACCAATAAAATAATTTGCTCTGATCATGCATTCTAAGATTATCTTTAATTTAGCTAATTATTTCCGCAAATAGATGGTTACATTGTTTTAAAATATATATGTAAATTTTATTTCAATCTTGTGCTGTATTTATGCATGAAAACTGTAAATATAGACTACACCCACGAAAATCACCTAAAGACAAAAATTAAATCGGCACAACAACGTTGATATGCAAAATATGTAAGTTAAAACAAGACCCCTCAGCAAATTCAAACTGCGAACTTCAATTGGTAGAATCAGTGAATTATTCATTATTTAGAATCCATGTCTAAGTGGTTGAATATAATAGCTAATAATGGAAGTGTTCGGTTATCGCAGTGTTCTTTCCCGATGCTGAATGATAAAATAAGTTCCTTATTACTGTTGTTAGTGGTCGTGGAGTGGTACTTAAAGTAATTACCCTCATCAACCATGAAAATTAGGGACTCTGCTGAAAGTTATGTTATAAGGAGTTATAAGGAGTTCCAGGTTCCAGTGATTCCAACCATGAAAAATGTTATCACTAATGTGTTTCACGGACTCGTTCACTTTTTGTCCTAAATGAAATTCTTAACTGGTGTAGTTAAGTACTAAAATAAATAGGCTATCTATCAGTGTTAAATGCATCGTAAACGATGTGGCGCATTATTGTCATTTCTCTCCTGGTCCATCTTTACTACACAGGTTGCAGTTTCAGAGATTATTTGCATGTTGAATAGAGTTTATTTCCCAGTCCATGCACCTTTTCGGGTGCCCATATTGTACACTGTTCAAGTCGCTAATATCCTTGTAAAAGTATTAGTGCATAACTCAGGAGACTTTTGGATAGGTATTAGATTTACTCTGATAAATAATGGTATGGTAATAGTTAGGACACACTTATTTTGTAATTAGATTTTGCCACTATTCGCATTTCTTTCAATAATTCTCGTAATTAGTACAGTTACTGTGAGTGACTGTAAAATAGTTGTTTAAAAACGCATGACCTTGGAGTTTCCGTTTTTGCTTTGAATTCCATATAGCATGACACATTGATTACGGCTCATAAATACATTGATGCACACATGTGCCTCTTGTTCTCATTTTCCTGCTGTTATGATAACAGAACACTAATGTATTTGTTATCCGCGTTTACAGATCTTAGTGATATTTTCATTAGATGCTTTATCTGACTATATATCTCGAATTATAACAACTGTAATTCGAATTATTAACTACTTGTAATGATCGATTACTAGACCAAAAGAAACTCGAACACGTCGATTCCCGACAACTAAAGTAACGTCCTGCATAGTTTTCTTGTGCATACAGCTTATGTTTCATGTATTCATACATTAGGGTTCGTACGTAATAACTTTACCATTATTTTTGGAGCTGATATATTCCTGCTCCACCATAATGGTTTCTGAGCCGGTTTACATAATGTTTTTTAAGAAAAAACTTCAAGATAGAATATGTTCTTCTAACTGAAGATCCCCAATTGGAAGAAACATTCTTATTGTCGCGTCGAAAGATCTAGTAAACATCCAGTAAAGTGGCAAACCTAATGTAACTCCATAAATTGTAAGATCTGAAGTCGAAGTCAAACCATCATTTATAATCATTTCCTCTATTGTAGCAATCAGGGGAAAGATTTCGCAATAACCACTGAAGAACATATTACAGCTTGCTGACTGAATAATATGTGTAGTATGGAGATGAAAGTGTTACAACTACCGTACCAGGATAGTCGAGCGATTTCGTCTCAATAATCCTCTGTCGTACGTCTTTGGATCCTCACAATTTATCATCAACTATTCTATGATCATTGTTTTTCTGCCTTAATCAATGATGGACCAGGTTTATAGTTGATTTGTGGCAAGGACATCTGGTTACTTTACTAGTAGTACACTTCCACTAGTCACGAAAAGTCAGTCACTACGACTGGCTTTTAGAAAAATAGGTGATCCATATTGGTTGCAAAAGATCAAGTCTCTCAGAAGGAAGATCTCACTTTTACTCTTCTCATTCATGTAATATGATCTTTCTATCGAATTCTAAGGGCACCTTTTTGCTCAGCATCCTCTTTATAAACACAGCTGTATTAAATCGTACAATTTAGAGATTAACTTCATATGTTAATGCTACTTCTGACTACAAACAGGTAAACCAAACTGACTATAACCGTTTCAACAAAATAATAATGGGGTGACTACCGAGTGTTCCAATGACTATTAGGGTAGTCCCTAACAGCAAACATTTAGTCAAACTTGACTTATATTATTCTACTGATAACAACCCTAACTGCCTACTTCGATATAAACTTACGGATAATTCAATAGTTTCGAACATACTCTTCAGACTAAACATGTCTGCTCTAGAAAATACTCACACATCATCTGAGGTAAATTCCGTAGTTAATCGTCAGAACCGAATAGCGAAACTCAAATCATCTGCGGCTGATTACTCTATAGCTATTTAATTAACTTTACGAAAACCTTAGTACCATATTAGTGAGCGAAACTGAAAACATAACAAGACACTTCTCTTCAGAGGTGCTCAACGGATTCTTATACACATGCTACTATGTAACTGTGGTCTGTAAAACAACTCGTGAGTGTGTAAGAGATTGTGTAAGTTACATTCCAGTATATCCTTATTATACATTTTCACATTTCTGGAACCACTGAAGCAATCCGATCTATAATTAATCTCTTGACTTTATAAACTTTTCAATATGTAGGAAGGGATGGATTAATAATGCTCCTACCCCTGCCCATAGTCTTACAAATAGCCCAAACCTGACGTTCTTTTAAGCATGAACCAATTCACTGTACTGGAACAGATAGCTCTCGTAATATTACAGTTAAGCTGTTAAACCTTAAACCTCCCTCGTCAACTCAAAATTACAATAAATCTATCATAAGCTACACTTAAAGTCATAAGCGTTCGATTATTGCCACACTCAACTTAAATGCATATATCCACAAAAGTTCTTCTCTCCCTGTTACAGCAATCACTTGGGCGTCTACTGAGTCTTTCATCTGGTTCAGCAACACTGTTGAAAACGTTTCCTGGTACACATAGTAATGTGATGCCTCTGTTGTTAGTTGTCACATTTACTCAGATCTCTTTTTCTTTGGTAACCCGATGAGGTGTCCTTCTTTTCAGTCCGTTGGCACTTGCTCCTTTTCCCAAATATCGTTGAATAATAAGTGAAGCATGTTTTCAGTTACTTCAATATCTGACTTTAGTATTTCGGTGGGTACATTGTCAGGCCCTGCTTCTTTGTCTTTGAGTGCTGCTTTGACATCCGGTGGATTTAATGGAGCTGATCTATTTAAGAGTTACTCGAAGTGTTCCATCGATATGTTCCCCTGTTCTTAGATCTAGGTGGTAGTCTTTCCTTCTTTGTCCTTGACTGGTCCCTCCGGTTTACTATATCTCTAAGCGAGTTTCTTCGTTGTCATATAGTTGTTACATATTTACTTCTCTTGCAGCTTTTTCCCGTTGTAATTGTTAAGTCTTCCTCTTATTTCTACTTGTCGGTTCTAATGTTCCTCATAACCCTCTTTAAGGTCAAGGATAATGCTTATTCACTTGCACACCGTGGCCTTGCCCATATGGTAGTAGTTGCACTCTCTTTCTTGTAGTTACTATTGCTAATATAATTCCGTTGTAAAGTCGTTTGTGCTTTTCGGTCACTAAAACAGCCACAGAACCTGAGTACGACAGAAGGGTAGTCCACATTATGTATAAACTGTAAGGTACAATTTCGGCGCAAGCTGGAAAGTCACGCCATTACAGTCCTACTCGAGTATACCCTCAATCTTCAACACAGGCCGCCCATGTTTGTGATCTGCAGTTACTGAAACTATTCGGATTACTGTCGTTTCAATATCTGTGCAAGTGGGCAGTTGTGTCTCTTACTTTACAAAACCGGCAAATAATAATGTATGAATCAATATAGCCCTGTTGAAAATAACTTAAGCACAGGTCTGTTTGGAAACTTGAGTAATGATATAAGACACTATCTGACTCAGCACAGCCAATAAACCCTTGATTTCCCACCACACGGAACGTAACATCACCTCAACATTTTAATGCCCTCCATATCAATGACGAGTCTATGTGGTCTTCAACTATAAAAGTGATATTCTCACTCTTCCAAATATATCTTCTATATACTTTGATCTGGTGAGTGATGACCTCTGGTCACAAACAACCGCTCTCTAAATAATAGCTTCGTGATTGACTTTTCTGGTCAACCCCCAGGCACATGGATCACTCATTTTACCCGTTTTATCTTACCCGCTTCACCTGTTGCTGAAGCACAAGCTGATAAAAGGTCGCACTGTAGAAATACTTAGCAGTAACATAATTCTAACAAGCAAAGCTAAGTATGAATTATATAACCATTCGCCAGCGTCACAACGTGGACGCGGTTCCATCCTTGAATGAACTATGAAACCTGCAAACATGTAGTACTGTATTATGACATTAACTTAATTACTAACTAGCTGGTATATCTGTATTGATATTGGTTGTCGATCACAAAATCCTTGAAACCCTATATACCACAACTGAGCAGTTTCATATTCAAAATTTAACACTTAGAAGAGATCAGAAATGATGAACACAAGAACGATTTGTCGACATGAATAGGCTATGCAGGCGTGTTCACTCTATGTAACCTCTTCCTTTTCAAATTAAATATATCATTTTTCCGCAGTCCTAAAACGTTTACTGTCGACTGTCACGGTAGGTTGGGTTAGAATGGACAATCATTGAAATTCCATGTAAGACCTTATGGATTAGACAGTCACATTATGGCAATTTTTTAGTTTCGGGACTGCGTCTGTTATTTTGGCAGCAGAAGTAAATTCAAGTAATACCAAAGAAGATCGAGATCCAATATGTCCGAACGATCAATCTTTCATGTGTTGTCATCAATTTTATCAACTCAGTAACTGTGCTTGAATAGTGTCTTATCCGTAGACCAATGCCTTAAATTATTAATTATCTCCGTAAAAATGGTGCGCATCTGCCAAGCTAGCAATGTAATATCATTAGATAATGCTTTACTTGTAAATGTAGATAAATGTTTTCATCACTGTTTTATGATCTATAGACTATGGGATGTCTCTCTTACAATATATTCACATTTTAATTAAGTGTTTTCTTCAATTAGGCCAGA